CTGCACTCTGAAGACAGAAAAAGCCGATGGGTTTCTCTGAGTTCAAGGCCAGTCCAGGCTGCATAGCAAGACCCTGTCTCAAAACAAAATTAAAAGCTGGGTTAAAGGGGAGGGAAATACAGAGGTATTCTAAGTGGTATAGTTTCAATTTTATGAAAAGGGTTGTGGAGGATATGGTGAGGACAGTTGTTCAACACTGTGCATATTTGTATTTTGTAAATTTACTGAGGCAGGGTCTCATTTTGATGCACAGGTGGCCTGGTTATAGGGCTATGTCTGTAGTTCAGTGGTAGAGTGCTTATCTAGCATGTGTATCGGCTCCTGGCACCCAACACCACCAGTAGAAAAACAAAACCAAAAAAACCTAATGTGTTCCTTGTTTTTAAATTTTATAAATTGACCTTTCCTCATAAATTATCATTGAAAACTCATTTGATGGATGCTTCTCTCTACTTGTTTGTCGGCACCATGCAAGGACAGGACCAGAGTGTCCTAGTTAGCACTTCCTGTCAGTTTGACACAGTCTTAGCATCATCTAAGAGAGTCTCAGTTGAGGGATTGCCCAGATCAGACTGGCCTGTGGCTGTGAGAGATGGTCTTGATTGATGATTGGTGTGGAGGCCCCGCCTATTGTGAGCAGCACCATCCTTAGGCAGGTGGGCCTTCGTTATGTAAGGAAGCTAAGCCACACAAAGGCCAGTGAGCAGCATTCCTCTGTGGTTTCTGCCTCCAGCTTTTTACCCTGAGTTCCTGCCCTGACTTACCTTAATGATGGATTGTGACCTAGAAATGTAAGCTAAATGAACTCTTTCCTCGCCATGTTGCTTTTTGTCAGACAGAATGTTTTATTATAGCCACAGAAAAACAAGCTAGAACAGAGTGTTTTCTGACTCTGGAATCAGCAGCTGCCATGATGCTTCTCAGTAGCAGGTGCTCAACATGTCCTCGGTGGGGTGACTAGGAGCTCCATTTTACCCTGAAGGTGGTGGTCTACCCCTACAGTTCCCCAAATCAGCTGTCAGGTGTTTGCAGTTAAGATACTTCGATTTCTTCTTCTTCTTCTTCTTCTTCTTCTTCTTCTTCTTCTTCTTCTTCTTCTTCTTCTTCTTCTTCCTCCTCCTCCTCCTCCTCCTCCTCCTCCTCCTCCTCCTCTTCTTCTTCTTCTTCTTCCTTTTTCTTCCTTCCTCTTTTTTTCTTTTATTTTCTTTTTGGTTTCTTGAGACAGGGTCTCACTATGTAGTCTTGGCTGTCCTGGAACTCATTCTGTAGACCAGTCTGGCCTTGAACTCAGATTTGCCTTAAAGACGTGGGCCACCACTGCCAGGCAAGATACTTAGATTTCATTTAAGCAAAAATATCTTGTTCCTTTGGGGTGGAGTAGATTCAGGAGAGATGGAAAGGGAGATTCGTTTTGTCTAACTGTAAAGAAAATAGCTTGTCTTCTTCTCCCATTGTCCCTCCAAGTACCAGAGGAGATCAGGCCAGCAGTGGGGACTAGGGACTACGGAAACAAAATCCCACAATGCATCAGAAACATCCCACCTAGGGCTAGAGATAAACAGAAGAGCAGGTGAGCAGGGACTTCAGCCTCCAACAGCCACCTGGTCCTAGAGACCCGTGGCTGTATTAGTTCTACTTATAGTCTACTTCCTGCCTGTGTTTCCTGCCTTCACTTCCAGCCCACACTTCCGGTCTCCTTGAGCCACACCCAGGGTTGTCATAGGAGTAAATGAAGCTTTGGGTTTAGAGGCTCAGAATGCCTCCGAGCTGTCAGCACTGAAGGTAATAATGGTGTGGAAATGATGAGGCCTTCTCTACTGCCCTGCCCTTCTCCCTCTCTCCTCGGTTGTTAGAGGACATGGCTCAATAAATCCCACAGTAGTTGCATCCGGAGACATGATGGGCCTAAGAGGGAACAAAGCCCCTTTCCAACTGCTAGGAGCTGTGGGAGAAAGCTCAGTGATGTGTGAGGCGCCTGGTTGCATCCTCTTCGTCAGAATTGGATATGGTACAAGTTCCAGCTCTAGCTTGTGCCTGGGAATGACTAAGACCAGAATAGCTCTGGGCAGCCACACTAGTCAACACAGACCCCAGCCTCCGCAGTCCTCTGGGGCTGATGAGCCCAGCCCGGGAGAACTGGCTTTGTTTGGATCCTCATGAGTAAGCCATGTGTGCTCATGTGTTTGGGCGTGGCCTGCTTTAGTCACCTCAGTACATCACCTCGAAGGGCTCCAATCTCAGAGCTGTGCAGTGTTTCTCCTATGTGAGAAAGGGTGCAGCTTCCCCTTCGGAGGACTAGGGATGGATGCCATGGTCTCTGGGTGAATGTGGAGACCCAGTGCTTCTATCACACGATTGATTGCTTCCTGAATTCCTGTTGAAGCCCCAAGATACTGCTGTTAGATATAAAGAGAGCCTGTTTCCCACACTAACTCTCCTCCTCCTCCACATGGGAAGGAGTGATTCTGTTCGGTCACCTACAGAGCCTGTCAGCATCTGTGATGTGGCCTCTTGGATAACAGCTGGGCTCTGTAAAGCTGCCTCTTGCTCTACTTTCAAGGCCAGGCTAGATAAACACCCCCAAAGGGACCCGAGGGAATGAGCATTATCTAGGGAATGCACCCATAGGGCCTCACCCCCACAGTGTGTTCCTTGGGTTCCCAAAAGAGGTGTGTTGCAAATGAAAGGTGGTGTCTTGTTTCAAAAACATGAAGCTAAGGATAAGGGGTGGGGGGTGGGGAGCCCAAATAATACTTCTGTGGATTCCCCACTTAGGAAAACACAAGTACATCTTGGCAGATGGTGTTCAGGCTGGCAATCTCTCCATCTAACCTACTCTCCCAGTCCTTGCAAGCCAGCCTCACATAAGTCACCGATGTGGGCGGAGCATTAGCTCGTGGGAACTGCTCCCAAGGACCTGGCATTCCATTTCAGACTACGTAAGGCATGTTCCCAGACTGAAGGCTTCTTTGGGGCCACAATTATACTTCACTATGTGCTGCAGATCACACATGGATTTATGGTTTAACTTGTAAGCCCTAACATTGTTGGTCAAGCATTAAATATGTGGAATTTAAATATACAGTATTTGTCCTTCCCTTGTTTATTGTAACATCGCTGCCCTGGAGCTTTGGGGCCAGGTATCAGAAGTGTCCTACATAGAGACCAGATCTTCTCATTCTCAGATTTGGGTATTGGCAGAGGTACTAAATACATATGCCAATTAGGAAATGAACATCCAGTCATTACTCAGAGAATAAATATTTCAACACACCATCTCAAGCTATAATTAAAGGCAGGGAGCTTTGTTACTGGGAGAACAAAAAACAGAGAGGCAGACAACTATTTTTGGAATTGTTCTTATCTTCAATGTATATCTACTACTTACAGTTCATCAGCCCAAATAAAATACCATAAATTGACACGTTTGAGAAACGGCTTACAGAAACGGCTTACAGGGAAGAAAGGCAGACGGGGCTGAGAACAAGAGAAAAAGAGCTTTTCTCCCGAAAAATGATTAAGGGAAAGATGAGATAACTAAAATCCACAGCCTTTGGATCACAAGCTGAGAGATAGTGCATTTTATTTTGCCTTAAGTTTACTTTTCATTTTGTTATGTCTTCCAACAAACACGGTTATTGTAAGAGTTTACCATATTATTATACACCAACAACATGTGTGTACACTAATGAAATTCATTATATGTATCCAAAAGGTGCTATTATTTTACACACGACAAGTCAAATGCAATGGACTATATGTGTGTATGTATATATGTATGTCTATATACACACATGTACATATGTGTATGTATGTATGGTATGTATGTATGTCTTTGTATGTGTATGTACACACATACATAGTCATCCTTCGATATCCATGAGGGATTTTTGTGGGAATCCCTTGAAATACTAGAGTCTGTACATGACCAAGCAAGCCCCTTATACAAAATAGTGTGATATTTTCATATAACCCACTCATATCTTCTGTGTACTTGGATCATCTCTAGATTAATGTGAATATCAAATACAATGTAAATATAATGCAGATGGCTGATTGTTATGTGCTTTTTGGAGACTAATGACAAGAAAGATGTATACTAGTTATACATGTGGTACGAACCTATGGAGGGTCAATCATGTGTGCAATCCAGAATAAAACACTGAAAGAATTACATTAAAAACTCACTTCCAGCCGGGCGGTGGTGGCGCACGCCTTTAATCCCAGCACTCGGGAGGCAGAGCCAGGCGGATCTCTGTGAGTTCGAGGCCAGCCTGGACTACCAAGTGAGTCCCAGGAAAGGCGCAAAGCTACACAGAGAAACCCTGTCTCGAAAAACCAAAAAAAAAAAAAAAAAACCTCACTTCCCTGGGGTTGGGGATTTAGCTCAGTGGTAGAGCGGTTGCCTAGCAAGGACAAGGCCCTGGGTTTAATCCTCAGCTCAAAACAAACAAACAAACAAACAAACAAACAAACAAACAACTCACTTTCCTGCCAGGCAGTGGTGGCGCATGCCTTTAATCCTAGCACTCAGGAGGCAGAGGCAGGTGGATCTCTATGAGTTCAAGGCCAGCCTGGTCTACAGAGCGAGATCCAGGACAGGCACCAAAACTACACAGAGAAACCCTGTCTCGAAAAAAATCAAAAAAATAAAAAAAAAAAAACAAGGAACGTGCTTAAATAATGTCAAACCAAAGCTGCAGGATGGAAAAGGACAAATGAAATCCCTCCACACCCAACACACAAGATTTCTCTGTGCAGCCCTGGCTGTCCTGTTCTCTGTAGACCACGCTGGCCTCGAACTCGGAGAGCCTCTGAGTGCTGGGATGGCATGTGCCACCACCACCCGGTGACAAAGGAAATCTTAGAGAATGGCTGGCAGTGCTGGAGCAATGGTGTTCACATCTATCTATAACTCCAGCTCCAGGGGATCTCCTCTGACATTTGCACTCATGGGCGCATACCCACATACAGATACACATAATTAAAAATAATAATGCTTGCTTTGGCAGCACGTATACTAAAAATTGGGATGATACAGAGACAATTAGCATGGCCCCTTCGCAAGGATGATACACAAATTCGTGAAGCATTCCATATTTAAAATGTAATAATAATAGTAATAAATCTTTTTTAAAAAGAAGATAGTTGACCAGATGTCCTAGGATATTGACTTTTTGAAATTTTTCATTGCTTATGGAGACGGAGGAGGACAGGCGATGTCTGTCCACAGGGCATATGTGGAGGTCAGAGGATGACTTGTGAGAGTCGGTTCTCTTCTAGAAGTGAGTCCTGGTGACCAAACTCAGGCTGTCAGCTGTAGAAGAATGTTATTTTAAGATGTGTTACTTGTGTTGATGTTGCAGTTGTTTAACTCTGTGAAGCTGTGTTAATAAAGAACTGTCCAATAGCAAGGCAGGAGAAAAGATAGGCGGGGCTGGCAGGCAGAGAGAAGATATAGAGGGAGAATCTGGAGAGGGAGAGATGGAGAAGCCAGAGAAAGGGAGGACATCAGGGGCCAGCCGCCCAGCTTGACAACCAACAATCCACGGAGTAAGATTTATGGAAATAAGAGAACAGGAAAAGCCCAGAGGCAAAAAGTAGACAGAATACTTTAAGATAAAGAAAGCTGGCTGGAAACTAAGCCAAGGCTGGGCATTCATAAGTAATAATAAGCCTCTGTGTGTGAATTAATTTGGGAGCTGGGTAGTGGGTCCCCCCCCCAAAGACCAAAGAACAAACAGCAGTCAGTCGTGGTGGCAAGTACATTTACCCAATGAGCCATCTCACCAGCCCTACATTTTTGAAATCTTTTTTTTTCTCCCCAGGACATGGTTTCTTTGTGTCGTTTTGGTGCCTGTCCTGGATCTCACTCTGTAGACCAGGCTGGCCTCGAACTTACAGAGATCTTCCTGGCTCTGCCTCTGGAGTGCTGGGATTAAAGGTGTGCACCACCACCACCACCACCACCACCACCACCACCACCACCACCACCACCACCACCACCACCACCGTCCGGCCATTTTTGAAATCTTAAGAAGATAGTTAATCAAATATACTGGAAAGTGAAGTTTTGTTTTGTTTTTGTTTTTCAAGATAGGATTTCTCTGAGCTCTGGCTGTCCTGGAACTCTCTCTGTAGACCAGACTGGCCTTGAACTCAGAGGCCCACCTGCCTCTACCTCCCAAGTGCTGGGATTTAAAAGTGTGTGCCCAGCAAGGAAAGTGAGTTTTTGAGTTAATTCTTTCAGTGTCTTTTTCTGGATTGCATACAGATTGACCCTCCATATCGATGGATTCTGCATCTACAGATCTTATCAACTGTGGATTGAAAATATTCAGAGAAAAAAAAGCCAGAATTTGTGGTCCATACCTGTAATCCCAAAATTTGGAAGGCTGAGGCAGGAAGATTAAGAGTTTGAGGGGGATGGAGAGATGGCTAAGTGCCATCTGAAGCTCACACACAGGACCTGAGTTCAGTTCCTAGTACCCACATCAGGCAGCCTGGAGGACCCAACCCCTCTGACCTCCTGGGTAGCTCACTTACACCTAACTACACAGACACACATGCATGATTACAAATAATGAAATCTTTTTTAAAAAGAGTTTGAGGTCTATGTTCACTACATAGACTCTGTCGAAGAAGAGAAGGAGGCAGAAGAGGAGGTGAGGAGGGGCCTGGATAGGTGACTCCGTGGCTGGGAGGAGTGACTGCTCTTCCAGAGGATCTGGGTTCAGTTCCCAGCGCCCACAGGGCAGCTTCTAAGCATCTATAACTCCAGTTCCTCTTTGGCTTCTGTGGGCACTGTGCGTGGGCAGTCCACAGACATGCAGGCAAACACGTTTGTACATGGACTTTAGAAGGAGGGGGAGGAACATGAGGAGAGTCTGGGGATATGTAGTTCCGTTGGTGGAGTGCCTAGCATGCCCGGAGCTCTGGGTTCAGTCCCTAATACCACATAAAATCAGGCACAGTGTGCATGCCTGTGATGCCAGCACTCAGGAGGTGGAGGCAAGAAGGTAAAAAGTTAAACTTTACCCTCCCCTGCCTGCCTGGGCTACAGGAGACCCTGTCCCTGGAAAGAGAAAAACAAACAAACAAAACACATATGTTTAAGGGGCTCCTTGATGGTTAGTTGGGTATTGTACGAGGCACATGCCTTTAATCCTAGCTCCCTGGAGTCAGAAGAAGGCAGATTTCTGAATTTGAGGACAGCCTGGTCCACATAGTAACTTTCCAGGTCAGCCAGAGTTACATGGAAGAAAACAAAAGCTACAAAATGAAATGTGTAGGAGTGAATTAGAATAATTTCTAATGCTCTAGAAACAATTTCAAGAGCTGGATGTGGTAAAATCGCTGGCTAGAATCGCAGCAAGGAAAAGAGTTGTCAAATCTTGTGTTAATCTCGAGATCATGGTTTATTGTTCTGTTTTGCCTGCTTTTATATATATATATATATATATATATATATATAATTTTTTTACATGACAAAAACTTAAAACTGAATTCTAACAATTGGTGTGTTTTGTTTGTTTGTTTGAACATGTAGAACTCGAACTGAATGGAGAGAAGAAAGCTTTACTGTGTTTGGGCTAACCTGCCTCAAAGACTGATCCTTAAACCTGAGCAGGCAGCCCGGCAGTGGTGGCATACACCTTTAATCCCAGCACTGGGGAGGCAGAGGCAGGCAGATCTCTGAGTTCCAGGCCAGTCTGGTCTACAGAGCGAGTTCCAGGACAGCCAGGGCGACACAGAGAAACCCTGTCTCGAAAAACCAAACAAGAAAGAAAAAAAAAAAAGGATAAAAAAGAGGCTGACCACAAGGGTCCTTCCCGTTTTTCACTCCCTAGGTCTGCACAGGGTCTTAATAATCTGCACTTTTTGGAAGCTCAAGGACAATTTTATGAAAGTTTAAGAGAAAAACAACATGGCAAGCAAGTTAGAGACCTCAGCGGATAACGAGAGGAAGGAGATGGGGAAGAGAAGAAGGGAAGTCATGCCTTCCAGGGTCAGGGTCCCAAAATGACTGCGAAGTCAGCAGGGAGGGGGCAGGCCACTGCGTGGTGGAAGGGGAGCGGGCTTCGGAGAAAGAGCAAGCCCCAAGGACTCAGGCTTATGGCAGCATCTGACAGAGAAATGGAGAAGAGGGCATAGAAAGAAGGAAGAAAGGAAGGAAGGAAGGAAGGAAGAGTTACACAATTTGAACTGAAGTCCATTCTAGGGAGCTGGAGAGATGGCTCAGCGGTTAAGAGCACTGGCTGCTCTTTCAGAGGGCCCAGGTTCAATTCCCAGCACCCACATGGCAGCTCACAACTGTCTGTTCCAGTGGATCTGATTCCCACACACACACATGCAGGTCAAACACCAATGCCCATAAAAACAGAAATTTAAAAAATTCGAAGTCCATTATAAACCCATCGTCCTCCATGAACTGAGTGTGTCTCTGTGCATGCACAAAGGCATTCCAGAAGCTGTTTTTGGTTGTTTTTGCTCTTTTAGGGGGCCTGCCACCCAGCTCACAAATCACACACGGAGGCTTATTCTTAATTATAAATGCCTGGTCTTAGCTTGGCTTGTTGCTAGCCAGCTTTACTTAATTTTAAATTAACCCATCTGTATTTGACTTTCAGGCTTTTTCTCATTCTCTTACTGTAAATCTCACTCTGTGGCTGGCTGTGTAGCTGGGTGGCTGGCCCCTGGGGTCCTCCTCCTTCTTTGGCTACTTCTTCCTCTCCTCCCAGATTTCTCCTATTTCTTCTCTCTGCCTGCCAGCCCCGCCTATCCTTTCTCCTGCCTCACCATTGGCCATTCAGTTCTTTATTAGACCATCAGGTGTTTTAGACAGGCACGGTAACACAGCTTCACAGAGTTAAATGCAACATAAACAGAAGTAACACGCCTTAAAATACTATTTCCCAACAGAAGGGAAGGACAGCATAAAGAAACTGAGGGAGCAATATGTGTGACTTACCTGAAGGGCAGATATCAGCACCCATAACGATTCTTTCAGTTTACACCAGTCATACTCTGTCATGGAAAAATTGTATATTGTTATTTGTCGTGCACTTGCTTTTATCGCTTCGATTACATTCTGAAGAACTTTTTTGGTCTTGTTCAATTTTTTTGAAAATTATTTTAATATGTTTTTATTTATTTATTTTTTTGTTTTGTTTTTGTTTTTTGTTTTTCAAGACAGGGTTTCTCTGTGTAGCTTTGCGCCTCTCCTGGAACTCACTTGGTAGTCCAGGCTGGCCTCGAACTCACAGAGATCCACCTGCCTCTGCCTCCCGAGTGCTGGGATTAAAGGCGTGCGCCACCACCGCCCGGCATGTTTTTATTTTATGTGTATTAGTGTTGGCTTGCACTGTGTATGCATGTATACCTTATGTGTGTGCCTGTGCCCTTGGAAACCAGAAGTGGCATCAGATTAGAATTAGAGTTCTGGTGGTGGTGACTCGCCCTTTTAATCCCAGCACTTGGGAGGCAGAGGCAGGCAGATCTCTGTGAGTTCGAGGCCAGCCTGGTCTGCAGAGCGAGAGCCAGCACAGCCAGGGTTACACAGAGAAACACTGTCTGAAAAAAACAAAACAAACAAACAAACAAAAAACCAACAAGAAAGAATTGGTGTTCTGGGTTATGAGAGTGATTGTGAGCGGCTGTGTGGTGCTGAGAACCAAACCTGGTCCTCTGCAGGAACAAGTACTCTCAGCTGCTGAGCTGTCTTTCCAGGTCTTGGTTTTTTGTTTCTGCTTGTTTGTTTTTTTGTTTTTGGCTTTTTTTAAATTTATTTTTACTTTGTGCGTGTGGATGTTTTGCAGGCATGTAAGGATTTGCACTACATGTGTTCGTGGTGCCTAAGGAGGTCAGAAGAGGGTGTTGGATCCCCTGGAACTGGAGTTACAGACAGCTGTGAGCTGCCACGTAGGTGCTGGGAATTGAAGCCTGGTCTTCTAGAGGAACAGCCAGTGCTCTTTACTAAGCCATCTCTCCAGCCCTGTTTCTGGATTTTTGAGACAGCGTTTTTGTTTTGTTTTTTGTTTTTGTTTTTTTTACTCTACAGACCAGGCTGGCCTCGAACTTACAGAAATCCGACTGACTCTGCCT